CCCCCCAAGAACCAAGACGACCAGAAGTCCGGGAGCGGCGCCTCCAGCACCAGCAGCCTGTCTCCCAGGACCCTCCGCCAGCCGGAGCGCGCCTTCCCTCCCTGGCAAGCCGTGGCCAACGCTTTCCCTTCTGTTTTGCAGGGCCCCGGGCCCGCCCCGGCCCGCTCCTTCTCCCGGGGGGAGCGACGCGTAGGACGGCTCCCCGCCCGAGCGCGCAGACTTACCCAGGCGGGCGGGATGCAGTCGCCAGAAAGTGGACGGAGTTTTTGCAAAGTAGCAGCCGGCCCGTTTCGGAGCGGGCAGAAGATGGAGCCGAGACACACACACACACGGGCGCGGAAGAAGTGGGGCTGGCCGGGGAGAGGGGAGGGCGACGCTTTGCAACAGGAAGCGCCGCAGAGAGATCGCAGGGCTTGATTTCGTTTACGGCCCCGGAGTGCGGGCTTCTTCTTTCGCTTTCAGCTTGCCTCTTCCAGGAGACGGAGCGGTAGATTCCCCCCGGGACTCCGTGCTTTCCGAGGGACGAGGCCCTGGGGATTTGCTAGGCATCGGACGGTATTGTATTCACAGATCGAACAAAGTTCAGAGTCCAGTGGCACCGTTAAGACCAACAAAGTTTTATGCGAGGTGTGAGCATGCACACGAACGCGCACATCTTGAATAAAACCTTGTTGGTCTTAACCATTGCTCCCTCTAAGCTGAGTTAGCGTGAGCTAGCTCACAGCTTTTTAGCCACCGGCTCACACATTTTTGTCTCAGCTCAGGAAGGAGGGCTCCAGAGCAAACTAATTTATGCAGCAGCCAAATTGTTCAGGCACAGGGGTCATTTCGTAGAAAAAGAGCTAGGGGAACTCATTAGCATAACTCATTAGCATATGCCACACCCCCTGACATCACCGGAAGTGTGTCATAAGGCCACACACCCCGCCCCCAACGGTCCCGGCCGCCGCCACCGGCCTTGCAGCTCCACTGCCGAGCCCCATGAGGGGCCCGGCGGAGGAAGCCCTGCGAAGGCCCTCCCTGGCCCCAGGCAGGCAGGGGTGGGTAGAGGCAGGGAGGAAGCAACTTACCCTCCCTCTTCTCCTGCCTCCTCCTGGCTGAATGAGGGCCAGAAGCGGGGCGGCCGGAAGCAGGGGGCGGGGCTTCGTCATGTGCCCCGCCCCCAGTACCTCACCCGGGGGAACTGCGATCCCCCCCAAATCGACCTCTGTTCACGCATAACTTTAATGCCAGTAGCTCACAAAGTAGAATTTTTACTCACAAGACTCCACAGCTTAGAGGGAGCATTGGTCTTAACGGTGCCACTGGACTCTCAACCAATGTTCCCTCTAAAGCTGTGGAGTCTCGTGAGCAAAAATTCTACTTTGTGAGCTACTGGCATTAAAGTTGTGATCAAGCGATTTGGCTACTGCATAAATTAGTTTGCTCTGGAGCCATCTTTCCGAATCCTGAGCTAAAAGAAAAATGTGTGAGCCAGAGGCTAAAAAACTGTGAGCTAGCTCACACTAACTCAGCTTAGAGGGAACACTGCTTCTTAACTTTGTTCTGTTGCTTCAGGCCAACACGGCGGCCCACCTTGATCTGTATTCACAAATAGGCAGGGACACCAGCCTCCAGGTGGGACTTACAGTGCCTCTCCATGGAGAGAAATCAAAATGGGTAGCCAGGAGGAAGCGGGATAAAAGAGCGGGAGTCCAAGAGCACCTTCAAGACTAACAACATTTGTGGCTGGGGAGGAGCTTTCCTGAGTCACCGCTCAGTTCTTCAGATACCTGAAGAAACCTGGACTCTAGCTCATCTCCAGACTTCTCCAGAGTTCTGTTCCCCTGGAGAAAATGGATGCTTTGGAAGGTGAACGGTGTGGCCTTGTACCCCTGTGAGGTCCCTGTCCCTGAATCTCTCGGAGTTTCCCAACCCGGATGTGGTAACCCTACCTCTCCATCCCTCACCGGTGGCCAGCGGGGACTTGGCAACCCTACAAATAGCAGAGGTGGAAAGAAAGGCAAGGACTGGATCAGAGTCATAGACAGGAATCAGTATGTCTGATTCTCGGTGTGGCCCCACCCCAAGACGGAGGCCATGGATGGACAAGGCAGATGATTCTACAAACCTGAAAGAAGCCCCAGGTTTGCAGGAAAATCTGGAATTTATCTCTTTGCATACAAACATTGGAATGATTGCAGACCTTCCAAAATGATAGAAGCAATGCCTGTGACTTTCAGAAAGGAGCACCTTTAGTGGTTGTTGCTAGGCAACCATAACATCATTCCCAGCTTTTAAGCCTTGGTTTCTGTAACTGAAGGGCAAGGGTTGTTGTCGTTCAGTCGCACAGTCGAGTCCGACTCTTCGCGAGGGTACCAGTGCCTTTCCTGGAGCTATTTAGCCTTTGAGGGAGGACTCATTGGGACTAGGCCCAGCAGCAGCCACCAGGTGACATGATACCACTTAACTTGCATGACTTATGTAGGCCCAGCTGCTTTCTACTGTTCAGTAGCAGCCACCCCAAGTAAGCCAGAGTGGTACAGTGGTTAGAGTTTAAGAGCAGGTCTGAGAGACCCAGGTTTGAATCCCCACTCTGCCATGGAAGCTCACTGGGTGACTTAGGGTCAGTCACAAACTTCACAGGTTTGTTGTGATTGCGAAGGTAAAATGGAGGAGAGGAGAATGATGTAAGTTGCTTTGGGTCGCCACTGCAGAGAAAGTCAGGGTATAAATGAAATTAAATTCGAGGTGGCTTAGCTCTTGCCTGCTCTGTTTCTTTAGTTCAGCTATTCTTGCACTCATTTAAAAAGACACAACAGGGTCAATTCTTTAGGTTAAAAGATCTAGAAAATGTCACTAACCCATGCATTTTTTTTGGCATAGTGGTTAAGAGTATGGACTAATCTGGGAGAGCTGGGTTTGATTCCCCACTCCTCCACATGCAGCTGCTGGTGTGACCTTGGGTCAGTCATAAGTTCTTTTAGAGCTGTTTTTAGAAGGTCAGTTCTCAAAAGAGCTCTCTCAGCCTCACCTACCTCACACAGGGTGTCTGTTGTGGGAAGGGGAAGGGAAAGGGATTGTAAGCCGCTCTGAGACCTCTTCAAGTAGTGAAGGGCAGGGTATAAATCCAATCTCCTCCTCCTCCTCTCCTTCCTCTGTTCAAAACTAGGCTCACAAGCTGACGAAATGGCAAGCTGTGCAAGTTATGACACACTCAGCTTTTATGAGTGTGGATCAGAGGTCGATTCGGGGAGGATCGCCGGGGATCGCCGTTCCCCCGGGTGAGGTGCAGGGAGGCGGTGCACACGATGAAGCCCCGCCCCCTGCTTCCAGCCGCCCCACTTCTGGCCCTCATTCAGCCAGGAGGAGGCAGGAGAAGAGGGAGGGTAAGTTGCTTCCTCCCTGACTCTCCCCACCCCTGCCTGCCTGGGGCCAGGGAGGGCCTTGGCGGGGCTTCCTCACACTCTCGCCGGCCTTGCAGGTCCACCGCCGGGCCATGACACACTTCTGGTGATGTCAGGGGGTGTGGCCTTATGACACACTTCCAGTGATGTCAGGTGGTGTGGCCTTATGACACACTTCTGGTGATGTCAGGGGGTGTGGCATATGCTAATGAGTTATGCTAATGAGTTCCCCTAGCTCTTTTTCTACGAAATGACCCCTGGTGTGGATTGATGTGCAAGTGTCTAAGTAGCCTGGTTCATACATGAAGGTGCACGTGAGGGCAGAGGTGGTAGTCCCTTAAGATCACATTTTGGCTTGGTCTCCCATGTTACAGGCTCCAGGCAACTAGAAAGCTAGCAGCACAAGCACAGAGCAGGGGTAGAGCCTTTCAGCTTGCTGTGCTCCTGGCGAAGGAAAGCCTAGGTACTTACCAGTCCTCCCGACCCTCCAGTCACAGCCATGGGAAACCCTTTCATTTGAATAAAGACAACCAATAACCAGTGTTCCCTCCAAGCTGAGTTCAGGGGTAGAGCCTTTCAGCTTGCTGTGCTCCTGGCGAAGGAAAGCCTAGGTACTTACCAGTCCTCCCGACCCTCCAGTCACAGCCATGGGAAACCCTTTCATTTGAATAAAGACAACCAATAACCAGTGTTCCCTCCAAGCTGAGTTAGTGTGAGCTGGCTCACCGTTTTTTAGCCTCCAGTTCACACGTTTTGGTCTTAGCTCTGGAAGGAGGGGGAAGGATGCCTCCAGAGCAAACTAATTTATGCAGTAGCCAAATTGCTCGCTCACAACTTTAATGGTCACAAAGGAGAATTTTCGCTCACAAGACTCCACAGCTTCAAGGGAGCATTGCCAATAACAAGCCCTGCCTTGCAATAAACCTGCTCTCTTTCTGAAAAGTTCAGTGGGCACCAAGACAAGTACTGGCAGGCACAATGCGGGGGACCCTTGTGTTACATTGTTTATGGGTCCACACGGGCACTGTCGAGCAGATGAACACCAGGAGCTCTGGTGGCCCAATTAGGATCAGAACCACAGCATGCAGAGAAAGGGGGCTTTAAACTTTTCCCCCTGTACCATTTTCTTAACTGGAAAGGGCTCTGGGCACCTGGTGCTTGACCTACAGGGGAAGTTTATGGGCTCGAAGGGGTCATTTCGGGTTGGGAAAAGAGAGTGGAGGGGAAGGCCTGTTTCCCATGCTTGCTATGGTACCAGTCCCAATGTGGTACCCACTTTGGGTTTAGCTTTTGTGCGGCCACTTCCTTGATTTCTTAAAGAGTGTCTAGAAAACATGTCCTGAGCAAGCAGACAGGGAAGTTTTTAAGAAGTTGCTTCTTCTTCTGTTTCCTTTTAGGCCTTTTATGCATACGAACCACAAAGAATGACTTTGGGCAGACAGTCTTTTTACAGGTCAGTCACTTTTACGGCTCTGTTTGCAAGGCTGTTATAGCTAGAGGTGTGGATGTAGAGGTGTGGCTTCCCGGGAGGTGGTGGGGCTCTCCTTCTCTGGAGGTTTTCAAACAGAAGCTCGATGGCTGATTGGCACTTTGGGTTCAGGAAGCAGTTTTTCTCCAGGCCACTTTGGCCAGGAATCCTGGAGGTTTTTGTCATCTTTTGGGTATGGAATAGAGGTCACTGGGGGTATGAAGGGAGGTATTCATGAATTTCCTGCATTGTGCAGGAGGTTGGACTAGATGACCCAGGAGGTCCCTTCCAACTCTATGATGCTATGATTCTAAATACTTCTGTTGAAGCAACCCATAATTTGTTATTTCTTCCAAACCACTTTGGTTTGCTCTTAGTTCTTCAGACTAGAATCTGGATCCCAAGATTTGTCAGCAGAAGGAACTGATGTTCAGATCTCTCTTTCTTGAATTCCAGCAGTCCATTCTGATATGGGAAAGTTGATTCCCAAGATTGTGGAACCTGTATGGATTAATAGCCACCTAAGACACTGGACTACAGTGAGGAGTGGGGGGAAGGGTGTAAAATCTCCATTCTGCCTCTAGTATTAGCAGAGCTTGTTCTTGTGATGGGAGAGGGTAGTCTTTTTCCCCACTTCCCCCTTCAGTGCAGCTTTCCATATTAGTCAAGGTTTGTATTTATTTATTTATTTATATCTTCAGCTTATATACCGCCCTGACCCTGAAGGGTCTCTGGGCGGTTTACATAGTAATTCTAACCACATTCACCTAGCTAGGGCCACATTGTTTCTGGGGTAGTGTCTGCCTAC